TATACTGATGCCAGGTCCTGTCATTTATAAATTGTGTGTGCGTGCATGCATGTGCACACCCACCCACAAAAACACACTTCTTCTTTTTTAAGTCTCACTCCAAATTGTGGAGCAATAAGGTCAGATTATTTCATAGCTGTGTGTGCGTATGTGTATGTTACTCTTGAATATTCCTGTGTTAGGAGCTGCATGACTAGGCATGGTCACCCTAGTGACAGTGGAGGCTGGTCCACTGGGGTAAGTGGAGCACTGCCCCACCAACCTCAGCCTGTCCACAGCCTGCCCCTCTCACCTGCCTTCCTTCCAGTCCAGGAGATGGCTTTGGCTGCTAGTTTACTTCTGCTACTTAGTCTTTGTGGGATTCAACAGGGAGGAGAATGGGAATGAAGCTGGGATTAGTTAGCTCTGCCTATCATTGTTTCTGGATCCACTTACTGCATGGGCTCCCTGCTTTCTACCCTAACAGTCCCAGTGGGCACTTGCTGCAATGAGGAAGGCAATACACTGAGAGAGGAGAGCCTATGGAAGGAATCTTGCCCCAAACCTGGAGCCAACACTCACCAAGAAGAAGAAACTATGTACCGCACAGATGCTAACTCTGAGAACAGAAGAACATAATCTGCCCTTCTCTGTTTGAGCTACACAAAGTGCATTTTGCAAACTGGTTGGAAGAGAATAAAAGTTAGAACCATCTATATTTTATCAGCTCATGAAAATTGCCAAATCCGATTAGGCAAGCAATCCACTGTATCCTGTAGTCCTCTGACAGGGTTTTTCAAACCAACTGAAATGCTATTGCAAATATTGAATCATGATGAAGACATGTCCTTTGTAACTATTTTTCAAACGAATTAAGATGAAATTTATAGGACATAAATTATAAGTGAGCGTCCTCTGTGGGGTGTGGGTGAGTTGTTTTTTAAACACAAATGAATTATTAGTGCTTTTTATCATAAAGGCAAAAAATAAAGTACAGTATGTGTTGAATGCAAGAGTAAATAATGAATTCATTTAAATTAAATAGTTGGGTATTTTTAGCAAGCTGTCAGTCCACACCCACTTTTACACTTCATCCTCTCCCAGTGTTACCATGCAGCCCCAACACAGGGTTTTCCACAGGGATATGTGGCCTTCAAAGCAAAATTATAGTCAGCCTAGCTATGAAACTGGTAAAAGTAACATGTCCAAGTAATATGCACTATTCCCAAAACAAGCATCCCAGGAAAGGGAGTGGAGGGAGAATAACTCTGGAGTAATGGTGTCACACCTTGTATCTTGTTTCTTGGAACATTAGTGGTGAAAGATAGGTATGAGCAAATTTCCCTTTGTGTTCAGTTCCTTTCATTCTTCTGGGCTGAATCTGACAAATTCCTTATAAAAGTATAAGAAATTATGCTTGTGCAATGGACCTTCCCCTCCCTCTTCTCCCTCTTTTGAAATCTGTTCCAGAGGGTTGAGGGGATGGGACAATAGGGAGAGGTTAGAGTAGGGAAGTTCTATTGTGCAAACACATTCTGTTGCACAATGACTTCAGTTGAACCAGTGCTCTGCACCATGTTTTCTGCTCCTCCTAAATTCCAGTTAAACTAGGAGAGTTTCTAAAAAATAGTGTGAGAACTGCAGCATGCACAGTGGACTGTAGCCTTCACAGAATCTATACAATTGCATTGATATACCTCATTTCTTTCATTGCATTTTGGGTGTGTGTGTGTGTGTCAATGTAGCTGGATAAACGTAGCACATAAGAAGCCACATTTTCTATCCTCACCAGAGGACAGAACTTTCTCCTGTAGCTTATCATGTAGGTGTATCACTCTAGTCCTACTAACATTTGGAATAGTCCCTCTCTGCTTCTAAAGCTCTTCCAAAGAGTTCACTCTACTGTTGCTGTTACTACCCAGGCAACGAAGTGTTTCACTCTGTTCTTGTTGATTGCTCTGTACAATAAAATTAAAAAATAGAACAGTACAGTGGTATGGTTTCTAGTGCATCAATCCTAAGAGAGACTTGATCATATGATTAGAAATGCTCAATCGGGAACATGGGACATCAAGCCCAGGGGCCAAATGTGCCTCTGTGGGACTCTCCCCAGCCATGTCCCCTTTCCCCAGATCAGGCCCTTCAGTGATCCTGATTCATACTCTCCTCCGGTGTCTTTACCTGGCTAAAATGTGTCTTTAAATTTGCTTCTTGCTTGCATGGAAAAGAATAGAGGGGCATGTGTGAGCATGTGTAGAAGGCAGCCTACTATACAAAGGTTTACATCAATTGCCCCACCCATTTTTATTTCTGGCTCTACCTACCACTGATACATAGCCCCTTGGGCTGAAAAAAAAAAGGTTTACCCAACTTTGTAACTTTGTTAGAATCAACACAGAAATTCAGATTAGGAGTACCACTGAGTTCTGTAGCAATCATACAGCCAGTTTTTATATCTAGTTATACCATTAGCATTCAGTTATTGTGTACCCCAGTATTGCTTAGTGTAGGACTTTGTTGAGTGTTGATGCCAGCCAGCATTAGGCACATGCTGATTTATCCACTCCCTGCTCTTAGTCTGGAGGAAAAGTCCTGTAGGTACTATACACTGTAAGACTATACACCACCAAGCAGGATCCACACCATACTAGGAATCATGTGTTCCCACAGAGCCAATTCAGGGTCACTGCCTGCTCCACAGCTCTGATATTGTGCTGTCTCCAGACATACAGCATGCTGTTGAGAGAGGCCACCAGGCTGTATCTCTGTACCTCATTTGCTGCCTGTTTACTTCCTTGATACTCCTCTCAGTTGTCCATCAAAAGCACGAACAGCTGGTCTCATACATGACCTTGGCAGCATGAATCTTACACTGGACGCTTGGTGCCGCTCACTCTGGAATACAGCTATAATGGAGAAAATCACACATAATTTGAGATTTTGACAAGGACTAGAACTGCTAGACACTTTTTACATGATTCGGCATTCCTTTGTGATAGATACAGCAAAACCATCATTTTCAAGACAGCCCTCATCACAAGCCTGGCAAATCTGGAACTATACAATCTGATAAAGTTGGTAGTCCTTACTTGGGCTTTGTTACTTTAACTCATGTGCAACTACTCTTTTTTTTAATATATTTTTTATTCTTTTTCCATAACAAATTATACATCCAAAACATCTTTTTTACATCCAAATTCCTCCTTATTGACTTCCCTCCTCCTGCCTGAAAAACCTTCCTAGTACTTACTTTCTCCTCATTTCTTAAATTTAAATTACACCACCATATTATTAATTAATTTTTTACAATCTAACAATATTCCTACCTTTTCTCTTCACAGAGCTTCCTTAAAACTTACAAACGTTATCTGATTATTACTTAATTTTTCCATATATTCAATAAATTTCATCCAATCTTCTGTAAATCTTTGATCACATCAGTTCCGGATCCTTCCTGTTAGTCTATCGAGTTCCACATAATCCATCATTTTCATTCTCCATTCTTCAATCGTAGGTAACTCTTCTTGTTTCCACTTCTGGGCCATCAAAGTTCTTGGTGCTGACACTGCATATAAAAATATTTTCCCGTCTTTCTTATCTATCTCATTACCTATTATTCCTAGTAAAAACACTTCTGGTTTCGTGCAACTACTCATTCTATGTACCTGTTTTATAGTTTTGTTTTCCAGCTTTTAATTTTTGCCTGCTGTAATTGATCTCTCTGTTTTTATATACGTTACAAAATTTAAATGGTAATAAAAAAAAATCCTTTACCGCCACCACCCCAAAAGCACAAACAGTTACACTAGAAATCAACCAATCAATTAACCTCTTGGCATTCACTGTCCTTTAGGTGACTGGCTGAGGCCCTCCCTGCCTTCCTACACTTTCTCTAGAATTATAAATGTGTGGGTAGTGGAGCATTATTTATGTCACCTTTTGTCAGTGAGAAACGTTTGCTGTGTCCGTGTCTCTGATCTGGCTCTTCTTCGTTCACATCCCGCCCCCCTTTCTGAGCAAACACTCTTTGCTTGCTACCATTTGAACATTAGTGTTAATGGCTACTTGAGCATTAATGTTGAACATCTGCATTTGCTTTGACCTCTTTTTGAACCCAGTCTGCAATGAGCAGATATAATTGTGTTTTCAGGCCTCTTGTCATTTAGTTATTTGGTGCCAAATGCAGTGGTTAGGATGAAGAATTCACTGAGGCCAGCAGGACAAGGTTGTACAAAGTATGCCAAACCAAACATGACTGGCAAAGCCACTAACAATGCATTATTTATTTGTTTTTGTTTAAGGGATTTTTCTCTTGGCCTTTAGCATGTTCCTGGGTGGAAACTTTTAATAGAATGGGGTGGAGGAAGCAATGGATGAATCTGTCATTTTCATTTTCTCTCTGTTTCTTATTCTTTAAGTTCAGTTATCCACAGGTTTGCAGGAAAAAAATGTCACCAACATTTTGGTGCAAATTTCTCCAAATGTACACATGTACATATGCAGCTTTGCCTAATTACATACATTCTTGTAAAGCAATTTCCCCTAATACAATGCATTTTTGATGTTATCTTCACAAATGCATGCGTTTTTATGCAAGATTTGGCATAGTATATGCATTTTTGTCCATGCACCTTGGCTGGGGAAGTGCATTGCAAAATTAAGAGAAATGAGAATTTTGGAAGATTGCTGTTTTGGTTTGCATACTGTTTCAGAAAGTCTGAATTAGGTAGGACTCATCTCTAAATGTAAACTTAATGCTATTTCTCCTCCATCCCTAGGCGGATGATGAAGAACCTCTCCCCTCTTTTCAAACAGATGATTAGTGCTACATATTCTTTCTTAACTGAAGCAATGTACATAAGACATTGTAATAATAATGACACTCAGCTCCAGAATCATGCCAGTACCCATCCATGCAGCCTACATGTTGTTTATTTTATTTATGAATCACTTAGAATCATGGAACTGCAGGGTTAGGAGGGATGCAAAGGATCATTTAATCTAACCCCTGCAATGCAGGAATATGCAGCTGGGATTGAACCCACGACTTTGGCATTATCAGGACCATGCTCTAACCAACTGAGCTATAACATAAAACATCCCCAAATTAATTAGCAATTTTTTAAAAAATAGCACTATTTAACTTTTAAAAGAAAAAAGCCTTAAATAAACCTTCCATATCCAATACAGGTACAGACTATGATGAATATACCTGCTTGAAAGGCCTATTGAAGTGGGAAGAGCTTCAATAGGCACTGGAATAGAGAAGGTACTTGGCTGACAGGTTAGGGATATGCATAGGTGAATCCACAGTCCCCTTCTACACAAACATTTCTGCATACTTTTCTCCGTCCTAGTTAGGGGTATGCACACTGATGCTGACATGTAAGGCTTTAGGGCAAAAGTCAAGGAAACTGATATTTAAAGGAAAAGAGAGACTGTTCTTCAAAGTGTTTGCCTCCACCTGGGAGAGCTGTTAGATCTGCTCCTGTTTCTAATAAAATTCCCACTGCAGATCTCCCTTGAATTTATTTTCCAGAAGGAAAATCTAGTTGCCCACAACACTGGGATCCACACTTAGCAAATAAATAATAGTCACGCTTTTACAGAAATAAGTCCCCTTCCCCAACATGTGCATATTTTCGCAGAACGATTACATGCAATCAGCTTGTAGCAGACCTTTGTTTGCTCAGAGCACATTATCCTTTTCCTAGGGCATCCAAAGGGCACTAGTGCATGTAAACAAATAAGGTTTGGTGCCTGAAAATCAGCTTGAGCCAATGCAAGTTCGGATCATTTCCATTTATGCTCAATCTTCTTAATCCTTCCATACCCATGTACAATTAATTACCATTTTCCGCTTCACTGATGTATGTATTTTCATAATGATTTATTGTCTGCCTGAATAAGGAATACAATTTTCCAATGGCAGAAAAGTTGAAATGTATGTATTAATTGGTAGGGTGTTTGAGAGACCTGCCTGGAGCATGTTTATAAGAAATTTATTTCCAATCAGTGCTCCAGTGGAACTAATTGTGATACATTTCTTGGTTTGAGGAACCTATCTAGCTGATGAATTATGATGATTTTTCCTGTTCAAAAATTGCCATCTCAGTCCACAAGTCCTGTTCACAAATCTACATGAACCCTGATGAAATCAGCAAGAGGCAGATCCATGCAACTTTATACAAGTTCCCAGTTTTTTCCGCAGAAGCCGGTCCTTGCATGGTCTGAGAGCACAGGATGCAATAACCTTGCTGAAACTATGTAAGTCTGATCAGTGGGTGAAAGTCTACCTTGGAATCAGGGGTTACATACATTGGTACCTTGGTTTAAGAACAGCTTAGTTTATGAACAACTTGGATTAAGAATGCTGCAAACCCAGAAGTAGGTGTTTTGGTTTGTGAACTTTGCCTTGGAAGCAGAACATGTTCCGCTTCCTGTTGAGTGTGTTCCATTTGTAAATTGAGTCCCCCACTGCTATGGGAAAGCATGCCTTGGTTTAAGAATGTTTTGGTTTAAGAACGGACTTCCAGAACAGATTACGTTCATAAACCAAGGTACCATTGTACAACTAATTCTCGCTGAAAGTAATGGACCTTTGTTATTCATGTCCAATAATTCCAAAGGGTCTACTAAGTAGGAGAAGTATTGGATACACCCATAGGTATACCACATTGAGTTCTACCATTAAATAAAGGCTGGTGTTGAACTCAGAGAGATAGCAATCATTGGTGTCCTTTTTTCTGGTGGATTCCCAAATTCCTTCCAAGCTGCCTGACAGAAGTGAGGATAGGAAGATTTCTACCATGCATGACTATGATTCCTCTACTGTCTTCCTTTGCTGTCCCTTGATGCCTGGGGTTTACACTGGCATCCCCTTAGGGAGAAGCAACTTCTGCCTATGGGAGGCAAGCGAGTGTCCTGCAGGCCACCACTGGTCACCAGTCCTAGCTATTTCAGTTGGTCTCCTCCTGCTTCAGCACCTTGCCTACTGCTTAATTGCTCAGAGTGATGTAGAGGATGCCTTTAAATTTCTCCCTCATTTGTACTTGAGTCCTAGGTAAAATCCAGACAGAAATGTGGATATCAGGAGGAGACATGGGCACCTAATCTTCATATAGACCTTTTAAAAAACAAACATCTGTCCAATGTGGAAATATGATGAACTGAGCTGAACTGGGGAAAATGAGAAACTGTGAGAAACCAAAATTGACAGATTTATCCATCTATAACCGTGTGTTTCTCCTTTGGTACACTAAAGAGCTTTCCCTAGCCAGAGAATATTGCACGAAGCTTCAAACATGGTTGGACACATACTCTGGAAGGCCCTGAGCGACTTCAAAAATGCCAAAATAATTAAATCCCTATCTTCTCTCTGTTCGTTAGTGTTTTCCTTCTGTAGAGTAACAGTACTAATCAATTGTCAAAAAGTGTGACTGTAAGAGATAAGGAAAAGGCTGACACTGGAACACTAGAAAAATGAAAAGCTTCCTCCACGGTGTAATTAATTTTTGAGACAGCTTGGGGTTAATTTTAACAAGGCAATATCCCCCTCTAACTTTGTTTTCCCCGCTTCAGAAAACATTCTTACCTTTGCATTAGTGGTGCTATGGCTTGATGTGAACTAATTTGAAACATGACTCAATTTTCCACCCCCATTTAGAAACCGTGGCCTCTGAATATCAGCTGTAAATCAAACAAATGAGAGAAGCTGTATGTTTAGCAATGTGCAGAAGCACTGAAAATGGTTTCAGATTTGTTATGAAGTGGGAATAACATTGTTGTTGTTTTACTACTTCTACCATTATTATAGTCACCATTTTAATTATATAAAAGTCATGGTTTTTTTACTATGAGTGAAGGAGCTGGCCTTCACTATAGAATTTTTTTTTGGGGGGGGAGTGCTTGAGAAATGCACCCACCTTGGCCCTAGGATCTCCATTTAAAAGGATCACAGGTAGTAGGTTTGGGTAGCAGTCATGCTGGAGATCTTGGACAGCCACCACCAGGCAGAATATACAGAACTGTGCTAGATGAACAGATAGTCTGGCCAGGTATAAGGCTGCTTCCTATGTTGCGATAAAGGTGTGTGCCTTCTATTCATCTTTGGTGCCCCCTATACTATGCCCACATGTGCACACACATCTACGATTAACAAAACAGAAGGGTTTCATTCACTGAAGCTCGGCAATGTTGGTGCTATCAATCAGGTGGAGGCCATGAGGTATCAATGTGTTCAGCATGTATGCATCCAGAAGTTCTCTCCCTTTGCTGATATTGTCAGATCTGTTGGCATTTCTATAACAATGAAAGCTTTGCGTGTCAAGGTCCCCAAGCCACCCCCCAAATAACTCACAATGCACACTTAATTTTTGTTTAAGGTTTTTGGCATAATTTTGGCCACAACTTTATTTAAATACAAAACCGTGAGTGGTTGTTTAGGCATTGGTTAAGACTATCTGTCCCCCCGCCTGGGGACAGAACTGACTTCCGGGCACCACTGAAAGACAGTGCGGGAAAACAAGTCGGGGAGAAATGGAGCTGAGTCACAGACCCTCAATTCTCATCCGCTTGCTCCCCGAAGGCTTGCCAGCCCTAGTCCCATTCCAGGGATTGGACGAAAAGATGGCAAGCCCCAGGATTCCTTTAATTCCCTTTCCGCAGCAACCATGGAGGGGCAGGCCCAGCCTATCCTAACCCCTCCTCCACCAATTTATAACCAATGCCTAACCGCAACCTTACAAGTTGTGACGATTTGCTACGCAGTAGGCAAAAACCAAATGGCCCAGCCAATCAGCCAGATGGACAAAATTCCTACCAGGCCCCTGCCCCAATGGCAGACGACCCCATGACAGGCATAGCAAGGTCAATGCAGCAACCCCTTACTCAAGGGCGGGTGGGCGGGTGATCCGTTGCATGCAGCAAAGAGAAAGCTCCAGGCTGCGTGCAGAGTATTTAAACATTTTACCCCTCCCACCAAAATTGCAACATAACTTTTACCCTAGCAACCCAGTGAACCAATCACTGCCCCAGGCCATCTTTAGAGACCCTGCCTGGTAACAGAGGGGTGGCTCAGCAGACCCCACCGCAACACGTGCTCTCCATGAAGGAGAACACGCTTTCTGAGCACTCTGTCCTCAGAGCTGTATAACTGCCACCTTGAAACAGCATCATTTCATTTTTATCAGAGCAGTCAATGAATGAGGAAGCTGAAACATTTCAGATTATTTTATTATTATTTTTAAAAAATCCTCTGTTAAATTAATCACAGTAACGTATAGCTTATTTTAGCAATTAACCAAATCCTAAAAAAAATCCAGAGCAAGCCTGTGAGAAGTACTGTCTGATGCTTTTATAATTGTCAATACATAATAGACACAATACCCGAGGTAGCAATAGAGGGTGGCACTGTGGGTTAAACCACAGAGCCTAGGGCTTGCCGATCGGAAAATCGGCGGTTCGAATCCCCTTGAGAGGGTGAGTCCCAGCTCCTGCCAACCTAGCAGTTCGAAAGCGTGTCAAAGTGCAAGTAGATAAATAGGTGCCACTCTGGTGGGAAGGTAAACGGCGTTTCCGTGCACTGCTCTGGTTTCACCAGAAGCGGCTTAGTCATGCTGGCCACATGACCTGGAAAAACTGTCTGCGGATAAACATTGGCTCCCTTGGCCAGTAAAGTGAGATGAGCGCCACAACCCCAGAGTCGTTCACTACTGGACTTAACTGCCAGGGGTCCTTTATGTTTTTATGGAGATGATAATAATAGTGACCTACCTTACAAGCCTGTTGTAAAGTCTGTAACACATCAACACGATAACAAACATTAAGTTCTCAGTGTTGTCTGGAGCTGGAATTGGGGGTGGGGGAGAAATTCAATCCAGGTCTCATTTCAAACCTATTTGATTTATGCTTTCTGAAATGATATGTGAAACGAAACACAGCCATGTTTTGAAACTCACCTTCTCCACATTTTGCAATGCAATTCTTCAGCCAAGTAATGTATACCAATATGTATATACTACGTTAGTATCTGCATAGGAATGCTCTGCAAAAATGCATATACCAAACAAAAAATGCATGCAAATATGTGTGTG